CATGGAGGATATGGAGCCTGAAGCGGCATCTGTAACCAGCAAAATCTACGTTTAAAGTAAGGTAAGTAGACATTATTTTATACAAGGACCTCTAAGATGTTACTGGCTGAAGCGAGTGCTTAAGAGGCATGGGGGCTGCATTTGCTGCATTTGCTGCTCTTGAAGACCTACTTCAGTTCCAGCGCCTGTGTGGTGGCTCACAGCCACATGTAACTCCCAGATTTAGGGGATCTGATGCCCTCTTCTAGCCTCCCAGCTCACCAGGCACACATTTTCCACAGACATATATGCAGACAAACACTCATATACATAAAATAAAAATAAATAATAAATCTTCAAAAATATATTGTGGTGAAGCCCCAACCTTTATCCCTGACCTTGAAACAGAATTGTATTTGGAGACAGAGCTTTTGAAAGTTAATGCGGTGGGCATTAGTCCAATGTGACTGATGTCCTTATATAAAGGACATGTTAGGAAAGACGCCGCGGAGACACAGGGGAATGGCATCTGTCTATAAACACAAGAGAAAGGCCTTCGAAAACCCGACTTATTCACTTATTTAGGTAAAGCCTTTCTGTATAGACAAGGATGAACTGGAACGCACCACGTCAAGCGAAACCTGCCCTAGCTTCCTGAGTGCTGAGAGAGCAGCATGTAATCACGCTCATCTTGAAACCAGCCTTTTCACACCTTCGCCTTGGACCGGGAGAAAATAAACCACCCCATTTGTGCTGCTTTGTTGTGGTACTTCTAGCAAAATAGTACACAAAGTATGCACTTTAAGTGTTTAAGAGAAATATTCAAGGGAAAGGGAAGGGAAGGAGACAAGAAGTGTTTAGGGGTAGCCTGGGAAGAGTACAGGGTGGCCTGTGGTCACAGGAGTGCCACACACCTTAGAAACAGCAAGCAAGCTCCATGGTAGAGGGGGCAGAATTTTTATCACCGCTTAGGTCAGGGCAGCCAAAGTAATTACCACGGAGATCTAGTGAGCACAGACTCAGATCTGGGCTATGAAAATCTTGGAGCAGAGATGAAGTTTGCAATGGCGGGCTGCCACTGAAGGGTGGGAGAGCGGGAAGGAAGTGGGCAAAGACAAGATACAGGCTCCCTGGGAGAACACAGGAAAAGTAAAGCTGCCTTTCGCCGAGGCTGCCACTCTGCTCCTTCGCCTGCTTGGTGCAGCGTCCCTGGAGAGTGGTGTCCTCAGCCTTCTGATATAGTTCCTCGTGCTGTGGTGACCCCCAGCCATAACTTATTTTCACTGCGATTTCATAACTAATTTTGCTACCGTTATGAATAGTAACTATCTGTGTTTTCCAATAGGACCCCCCTCCAAAAGGGTTATTCAACCCTAAAGGGGTTGCGACCCACGGGTTGAGAACCACTTCCGTAGGGTCTAGCCTTCAGACCGTTGCTTGTGACTGCTGTCCCCAGCCTTGGCTTTCTGCAGGCATTCCCCTTGCCTGTGGCTGAGAGCTTGGTAAATAAAGTTGTTTTGCTATGACCCTGGTAGCTAAAGGCAGATGTAACAGGCTGGCAACCTTCTCTGGGAACAGAGATTCCAGGCGCTCAGGTCAGGACCCACATCTTCAGGGACTGTCATTCGCTTCCCCCAGCTGTTGCTGTTCAAGTCCAGATGTGCCTCTTTCTTTTCTTCAGTCAACAAAACATTCTGAAATATGTTGCTCACAGTTTCCCCCTTTAATACTTGTTGTCTTTACCTATAATTCACATACTATGCTGTTAATCTATTAAAGACTATTAAATAATTTCAACTCTCATAGTTGTATAGCCATCTACCACCAATTTTAGGTCCTTTTCATTACCTGTGGGAAAAATACAATACCTATTCAGTCGTTTTTGGTCTCTTTCAATATCTACATCCTTGGCAACCTAAGCTACTTTTCCTTCTCTAGAATTGCCTGTTTCTGGGTATTTATAAGGTGGAATCATAAACCACTTCTGTAAATTGGGTTTTCAGCTAGCATAATGTTTCCAGGCTTAGTTGGTATATCAGAACCTCACTGTGTTACCAAATGTTAGCCCACCCAGCACTGGCTGGCTGTTTGGTCCATTTTTACTTCTTAGTTATCAGGAGTAGCACTGTCGTGAACACTGTGTGAGTGACTTCTCTCGTTGCTGAGACAACATATCTGAGTCAAGCAATGAAGAAAGGGAGGGATTTGCTTCAGTTTACAGTTCTGGGATGCAGTCCATTGAGGTGAGAGGCTTGGCATAAGCAGCATGGCACAACTGAGCACGCGCCATGTGCCTTAAGGAAGCAGAGTGGTAAAGGCATGGGTGTGGCTCAAGGTCTCCTACCATACACCATGTGTGATCTGCAGTTATTCACCAGGCTAAAGAAATGGCAGACAGACAGCATCCTATTCTAGTTCATTCCGAAAACTAGAAACAGACTCTCAGTAAGTGGATGAGTAGTAATAATTTCATTTATACCCCAGTTCAGACAGTATTACCACGGGGCATGTGTTCTGGATCTGAGCCTAGGCAGGGCTTGGTGAGCCAAGGATGTTACATCCGTCTGATGTAATTGCAGAGATTCACCCAAATATATTACCAGTGTCCTACACTTCATTTCTGTCATCGAGGAAAAATACTTGCAGTCTTTTCTTCATGACTTTGGACAGAGTTCTGATCACCTTTACCAGGAAGAGCCAGGTGCTGGGGTTAAGGAGCAAACTTGTTTTTCGAGTGGCTGCCAGCTACCATTTTTAACTTCTATATTCTGCCCTCCTACCCAGCTTCATGTCTAAAATAGCCAGAAACTTTGGCAAGAAGCTGCTGGTTGCAGTTTATCAAGTATCAACACATCTGTTTCCCATCTTTTGGCAAAGTCAGTAATTTGTTTTGTCTCCTGGATGGGATGGAAATTTTGTGGAGGATGTCAGAAAGGAGCTACTCTAGGTGCATACAAATTTTAAGGAGCTAGCTAATTTATCTTATCTTGTTGTGTTTCTCTAAAACTCACTATGAGAAAAGCAATGATGAGCATTTTGTCCAGAGCCCTCAAAACCAGCAAGAACATTAACCTGTGAGAGATAAGTAGATCTGTGTGTGCTATATCTATGTTCATAATACAAAATGAGCCTTTGCAGTCTCGAATATCATCTGCCTCAGAACCTAAGGGGACTTTCAGAAACCCACATTCCTGAGTCTTTGCTGACTCAGGAGTCTGGGCAAATGGATGTGAGGATCTGCATTTTACAACACCCCTAGTGGGTCTCCTAACACACCAAAATTGAGAACTGCCTACTTGGGAGTTTTCCTAGAAGGAAGCAATTGTTTATATTCCAAGTGTCAGAGAAGCACAAGTCTAGAATTAAACTTCAGTTTCTACTCATTTAAAATAAGGGTAAGTCTCCCATGCCCAGGATGGAGGAGAGAATGGTAAGGAATAGATAAACAGATGGGCTCAGCATCTAGCACAATACAGGGACCACTTCATCTACTGAGCAGGAATAATGATTCCTAGTTCAAAGGGCTATTGGAAGGATTAAATGGGACAGCACACACAAAGGCTCTAACAATGTCTGGCGCAGGGTACATATTCCTCATGGCCGGCCACCAGCTGTCTCTTCCTCTCACTGGCCATGTTGGTTATATTCTTGACTTATGAGTCACACAATCAGCTAAGTGCTTAATGACTCGCCTCCTGAGCATGATATATAAGCTGAGAAGTTTTGATGAAAAGCTGAAACAAGGCCAGCTGGGACCATTGTGAGGTGCAATCTTTTTAGGGTGGTCAAGAGGTTACCCCAAAAGGTCAGCAACAAGCTCAGTGATTCTGTTGTGTAGATTTAACTTGTATTTATTAGCTCTAAAGCATATCAAAAACTTGTAAATACAGAAACGCACAAAGAAAAATAATTTCTCCTTCATTGCCCGGTTTAAAAGCTGGGTGCTCACCTCTCAGTTATAGCAGGTACTTCTCTATGGTGCAAGGTCCTTCTGGGGTTCAGAAGGGCCCTGAGCTCAGGGATCAGAAGGATCCAGAGCTCAGCTGGTGCCATCGTAAAATTCTTAGTCATTTTATCTTCGATTTGAGTCTCTCAAGTGAAATTCATGCCCCGAGTGCAGCACCCTGTAGCGAGCCAAGTGTCTGCTGGCCATGTAGCCTCGGCTGGCGGAGGAGAAGGCGTGCCCTTGCTGCCTGCTCCCTCGTCCACCCCAGCTCCGTGGCAGCTGGCCAGCTTCTGTGGGCTCACTTGGCAGAGCCCCTCCATGCTTCCTGGACATTTCCCTCTTACAAATAAAGTACTTTTTATATTTCATGAATCCCCGTCTTGTCCTCCTCTTCAGTGAGACTGTTTATTTAAAGTTCTATGGTCCTTGGCATTTGTTATGGGAGGCATGCTTGTTCAGTTCAATAGGTGGAGATGGAAAAATAAAAATATCTCTGAGTAGCCTTCAAGTGAGTGACCTTACTTCTAGGAATTTTCTCAAGAAAAATACTAAGAATAAAATTACTAATCAAAAGGAGTATTAGTCCAGTAACACTTATTATTAGAAAGTGGGAATAAATATCCTAGTAGAGGGGACTGATTAAATGATGAACCATCCATCCAATCAGCAGATGTGTAAGAAGTTACATGGCTGAATGCGTAGTGATGCAGAAAAGTTGACATCAATGTATTAAGCAAGTTTCAATGTACAAAACTTTTTTTTTTCTTTGCCTTTTGTGTAACAGAGCCCTGGCTGTCCTGGACACAATCTGTAGACCAGGCTGGTCTCAAACTCACAGAGAGCCACCTGCCTCTGCCTCCTGAGTGCTGGGGTTAAAGGGGTGCCCCACCACACCAGACCCGCTACAAAACTACTTTTAAATTTTTGTTTTACATAAAAATACATGTATTCTGACAGGAAAAGATAGCATTACAGGGTGGAAATCTGAGTGACCCTTTGCTTTTAGCTGCCTTTTTCTCCGCCATCTTGGGATTGTTTGCAGCCCTCTGGAGTCACCCTCTCCTTGCCTCCCCAGGTGTGCTGGAAGATGGACTGTCCTCTAATGGTGGGCTCCGGTCTGCAGCCCCAGGTGGAATAGTCAACCCAGAGAAGAAGATGAACTGTGGGACACAGTGTTCCAACTCGCAGAGCCTCAGCTCGGGCCCTCTGACCCAGAAACAGAACGGCCTTTGGACTACAGAGGTAGGACACAGCCACAGAACCAACTGGGGACCAGAGAATGGGGTGGCGCTTACTTTAAATCAGGACACTAAGACTGTGTCCAGGGAAGAGAACCTTGGAAAGCAGGTTTTCCTCCTCTCCATGTAAAACATTTCTGCAAACCTCATTCAAATCCTTTCCTGTGGGCCGTGGGGTTTTATTGAACCTACAGAAATGCGTCCTTGATGTTTGCCCTTTGGAGGTGTGTGTGCTCTTAGGTACGGCTTCACCCAAGAACCTCCTTGTCTTAGGAGGGAAGCCAGCGGAAGGAAAGAAACTTGGGATTTTACCTCACAACCTCCTTGTCTTAGCAGTGAAGCCAGCGGAAGGAAAGAAACTTGGGATTTTACCTCACACCCTCCAAGCAACTGGTTAGCGCAAGGGTCCTCCAGGATGATTCTCGTAAAATATCCTAACAGCTTCACCCCAAACGCTGGCTGTTGGGAGGAAGGCAGGCTGTGGTCCTGGACCTGGCTGCCATTCTTTGATCCTTTCTTTCTGGAGCAATTGTTTGGAGGTGCTCCACCTTCTGTGCAGCCGGGAGCCAGCCGGGGCTCTGTGCAGCCTCTTTCTCCTCTTCGCTTCCCCTTCCCATTTCCTCATCTTCCCTGAAGTCCACCATTTACTCTCTGCTCCAAAATGTATTGGTCCCACCTCCCCCAGCCCTAGCTGCCTGCTTCCTGAGGGCACAGCTTCCCTAGTGATGGAATTCTTGTGTCTATCACTGAGTTGCCTTTAATGACTTTGATCAGCAAACTGCTTGTAAATTCAAAGTTGTGTTTTGCACTTAACAAGGTGCTATTAGGCCTTGCAGGTTTTTAAATCCTCCCAAGAGCATCATCACAGTTTTATAGGCAAGGAAACGGAGGTTCACAAACGAAGGTGTGTGTTGTATGGCCTGGGTCATACCCCAGCTGTGACGGAGGTGAGCAAGGTAGCTTTGTGCTGAGCGGGGTACGTCACAGCATCATCAGGCCGCGGAGCCGAAGCTCAGTTGCTAGAGTGTTTTTCTAGCAATATAAAACCTTAGACTCAGTCCCCAGTATTGGGTAATCGGGGTAGTAAGGAGATGGAGGGAGGAGAATCAAAGGTTCAAAGCTACCCTCAACTACCTTTTACAGCGGTGAGAAAACAAGTGCGCTTTGAAGATCACAATTCAATTTCAAGTGTGAATCTTCTCCCGAGTGTGCAGCATGCAGCACCGCCTTCCTTCTCACTGCCGGGTAGCGCCAGTGGATAGAATGAGAGCTTCCAGTCGGCCTGAAATCACCAGGGACCAGCTGATAACCCACAGTGAGCGGTGTCACTGCCACATACATTTCCTGCTCGTGAGCCATGGCGTCAACGTTTTACAGCATTTCCCCTGTGTGCCGGCACTAGGATAGCCTTCTCCAGGAGGCACCTTTGCAAAGCAGACAGCCTCATCCACATGCCTGCTGCAGTTTTCCAGTTCAGATTTACCAGAAAAAAATGTGGGTTAAAGGCAATCTTTGTACAGCCTTGAGAGTTTCTTCATTAGTTCCTATGAGCACTCTTAAGATCCTTTGAGTGCTGTTCAGATGCCAGGCACTGTTTGAGTGCCAAGGACCTAGGAGTGGGAAAGGCAGAGGTACCGTTTCCTCTGAGTGCGAGGTGCCGTCAGGGTGACAGCAAGTGCTATGATCAATAGCGTGGTGCTCTGAGGGACCTGGGATGTCACTGTTAGTGCAGACACCCCTCCAAAGCTCCAACCCTTTCTGAAGGGCAGTGGGACTTAATGAAGCGTGCCAGTGGTGGTGAGCAGCGGCATTTTGTGTTTTGCGTCCTCTCTGCTTCATATCCCATCAAACAAACCATGTCCTGCTTTCTTCACTTCCTCCTGCCCCTGCTTTCTGACTAGCAGCTCTAGGCGCTCACGGCACACAGGTCTCACCAACAGTGACCTTTCACACACTGGGAACTGACCGTCTCAGTAGGGAGCTCTTTATGTACCTTGCTTTCCTTGACTGTTCAGGACCATGCTGACCTCACAACCCTCAACAAATCTCTGGCTTGTTTTCCTGGCCAGCTCCCCACCTGTGCCCCGCAGACAGCACATGGGGACCCCCTGTGTCTTCCTGGTCATTAAGGCAGCCCAGGAACTCTAAGCTGGCTCCAAGTGCATTCTCTTCCCCTTGATACGCCATTTCTTCAGGCTCAGATCCCACCTCCCCCATTAAAAGCGAAACAAACTCTCCCAAGGCCAGCTCAGCGTTCAGGAGCTCACATCCAACAGGGAGTTTGGCACCAGGGACCTGTGTAGTAGGAAGAGAAATCCAGTTCCTGAGAGTTATGTACTGTATGAGAGAGCACTGTATGGCTCACATGGACATGAACACCAACATGCACCACACACGCACACACACACTAGAATGAAACTCTTAGCTGGGCTGGAGCCATGGCTCAGCAGTTAAGAGCACTGGCTGCTCTTGCAGAGGACCCAGGTTCGGTTCCCGGCACCCACACAGTGGTTCACCACTGTGGGAGCACAAAGCTTCCAGTGCTCACAGATGGGCACTAGGGGACCAGCAACGTAAGCACACAGGGTTCCTTTTTCAAAGGGAGAGAGGTATAACCTGATTTCTGCCCACAGCGTTGGGAGTGGACACGGCCAACAGCCTGGCGACATTTGTACTGACCCTGTGGCTGAGACCCTCCTGATCCTCCCAGACCCTTTTCCTGAGCTCGCTTTACTCAGTCAATCTATAGAACTGATCGTTATGGAAGATGCCGAGTGTACTTTACAAAGCGTTTAGTAGTCACGTTCTAAACTTTGTTGTTCACATGGGATTGAGTTAATTATCACCAGGAAATGTTTTAGCAAATTGTGCTGTGTGCTAATTTGCCTAAAATAAGCTACTCAAGGTCCTACTCTGAAAGTTTGAACCAACACTGAGTTCTACTGGACTGAACTGCCTTCTTGCCGGGCTAGGGTGCTGGAAGAACTCTTCCCCTCCCCCAACCATCTGTTACCTCTACTGCACAGACTCTGACACCCTCCTCTGCCTTCTGCAGGGGTGTGCACATGCTCCACTCACAAACATACATGCACAGGGGCAATACTCTATACACATGGAATAAAAGTAAGTAAGTCTAGGCAAAACAGACAAAAACCTTCTAGCATCAGTTGGAGGCAAAGATGTCCATGTGAATGCAGCTCTTGGCAGACAAAGCTCTGAGCATGTGGCTGGCTGCCCATGGGGCTTTCATGTCTCCAAAGCTGCACATTCTCCAGTCTCTTTATTGTTCTTGGCAACGTGACCAGACACTAAAGGAACTACCCATTGTCTGGATTAATTCTCGGCTAAGGCACTTCCTCCAGAAGTGCCACCCCCAGTGTCCAGCCAACAATGGTTGGCAATGTGTGGCCCAGTGTAGGAAGGATGGGTGAAACCCACAGGGTTCAAAGAAGAGGGTCAGAGTGACAGTGTGAAGCATATCAGGAAGAGCTTGGGAAGCAAAGGAGTCTCAGGAAAACAGAAGCAAGATGCTAAACAGAGGGAGGGAACAGATGGCAGCACTGGGGAGCAAGAGGGAAGGCTGTTGGTGGCACACTTGGGAGCCCTCCGCAGCCCATGCCTGGGAAAAGGGCAGGGATCTACTACAGCGGCAGGAGAGGTTTCCACAGAGATTTGGCCTGCGGCAAAACCAGTTCATTTAGAAGACGCTCGGGCCACAGCCCTCTTTATTCATTGTATTCTTTTCTTGACATCCAGTCGATTTGAGTTTTAATGCACCTACCACGGCAAGAACTGCTTGCTGGTTGAACGAGACAAGCTCACTGAGAGTAAAATGGGCCTTCCCCTGTACCAGCTCTGTTCTAGCAACATCATCATATCATCATCATATTGAGGCACTCTGCTATCTTCCCTGTGATCTTCTCTCCCTGAGGCTCATGGAAAAAAGTAAAATGTTCTTGTGACACTTGATGAAGCCTAGTAGCTTAAGTCAAAGCAGGTCTGATCTTGCTGTGGAAAGCTAACGGCTGGCCTCTGGTGGAGTTGCTAAGATGGACTATTTCCTTGAGTTGCAGCGTTTAGGACACTGCTTTTAACCCCTGAGAAGGAGGGGAGGAATAAACTAACATGCCTGACTTACTATGCGCCAGACACTATATGTGGCATTGTTTTTAACCCCCACAACTCTGAAAGGTTAAATATCCTTCCACACCTGAGACAATAGAGGCCCACGAGCCATGTCCAATCTGACACAGTAGGCTGTGCTATGGCTGTGTTGGAATTTAAACTTCTGTTTCTTTACCTCCCAGGCCCATGCCCCTCTATTCCATTACCTGAATTATAATGTTGAAGAAGTTAACATGAGCTTCATCAGAGTTCATCAGGCTGTGGGACTGGGTGTTAAAGTTATATTTATAAAACTCTGTGTCTTGGTTTCTCTCTTAACCCAGCTATCACACAAATAATTGAGACACTTTTATATTTGTTTAATAATAAACTTCACAACACAAGACCTGAGCAGTTATTACTCTATTTTAACCCTTTAAGCTACTTTGGTTTCCTCCCAGCATACATGGCAGAGATGTTTGTACTTTGTAACTTCTTTCTTGGTCCAGTTCCTCTCTCCTGATATCTCCAGGAATTCCCTGCTTGCTCTTCTAACTTCTCTCGTGGCTGATAGGAAGTCTAGCTCTATTCTCTCCCCTGCTCAGTGATTGCCTATAAACTGCTTTATTGGCATATCAGGAGACAGTTGGGGAGCAGTGTTTATACAACATTGAGACGGGTGATTCTCAGAACAAGGATTGTAACCAGATATCAGAAATCAGCATATAAATTACACAATAACCTCAGGCCTACAACCAGGAGCCCTTGTCTTTATTTTGGATTATCACCTACAGGACGTTGTCCTTGGCAAACTGCGTCAGTTCCAGTGACTTCAGATGCCTTATTGTGCAAGCAAACACTGTAAGATCACCATGTCCAGTGGTGATATAAGCAGCAATC